CCATTTTCTCTGTCAAAATTTTCAATCAACAAATTTAATTTCTCATTTGCTTTTGATTTGATATCTCGGATAAAATATCTGCAAGATCTTAAATAATGTTGTTTATTGCACCAAAAACAAATAACTTTAGGAGTTATATTCTGCCTTTTATTATCAACTCTACAGTTTTTAGTTGAATAAATTGGGAGGGGCTCAGCTGTCTGTATCACTCTACACTCTGTCCTAGAAGAAGAAGGAGGTGTGTAAAATCTGCTCTTCTTCCTCTGCCTAAATCCACAAGTCGTTTTAACCCCTTCATTATTGGTTTCCCTCCTTAAGTTATCCAAGAACAAAGCTACTTCTGTCAAAGTGCTTTTTTCTCTAGCTAACACAATTGCAGTTGGATCTAGATCTTGAAATTTTTTCACAAATTCATTAATTAACTGATCTTCAGAAAAATCAGCAACAAGTCTATATGCACTTTCAAATTTTGCAAGAAAACTAAATATATCCTCCCCCTTGTGTGGTTTTAGTTTTTCCAACATTTCAGTGTCTGCAAAATCATTCCCTGTTGTTAATTTTATTAATTGTGTTAATCTGTCTTGCTTATTTCCATATATTATTTCATCATTGTCCTCGAAATTTTACAGGCGTGGTCAGCCTACATGCCATTTGAGTCGGCAGCCATATTTGAAATAGTCTATTCCTTTGTTCGTCATTTAGGCTGTATTTGTCCACATTTGACTCAAACATTTCAGCATTAGTAAATGCATCCACTGACGTGTCATAAACTGGAATAGATTTCACAATTTTCATTAATTGTTCATGGATTTTCAAATTAAATTTTGCAGCTCTGTCTTGAAATTTACATTTCTGCAAATCACTCTGTGAGGATACATTTTCAGTATCAGTTGGTTCTGGGATTAGATTCTGTGCCTTTATTTTTCTTGTATTAACACACACTAGTTTAACTTCATTTCTAAGCTGGCAAATAAGATCATTTCTTAGTTCAACTCTATCCTCTAATTCACAGACTTTTTCTGACAATGTTCTCTCTGTTACATTGTTACACTGTTCATTTAAATCTGATTTGTCTTCTGTTAACCCATTCAAATCTACTTCTTTTTCTGCTGATTCTAAATTGTCTTTACCTGTATTTCGTTTACAAATCAATGCATTGTAAGTACAGACTAGTTTCATAACATTTCTGATCTTTTGTTTTTTCTTATTAACAAACAATTTCTTGTCAATTTCACTATTGGCAATTTCACATTGTGTGTATAAAGATTGCCACAATACAGCATCTGAATAGCTGCTATTAAATGCAAACTGCAATTTACTTTTCTCTGCAATATCATTTATGAATCCCATGTTACTCACCAGATCAGTTATCTCTGTCTATTTCGTTGCTTCATCCACACAGCTGCGCAGTTCTTTGCTTGGACGCTTGCCAATGTCTGCCACGTGCTTGCTTCTAGATTTCACGTTGTATCTTGTGCTTTTTGTCTCAGTTGTAGAAAATAGTCTTGTACAGTCTTTGATTTGAAAACTTTCTTTTTCTTACAAACACAGTCTAGATTCTTTTTTTTCTCTTCAAGTTTGTTTTCCCAGTTCCAAAATAGTTTTGTAACTCGATTCTTCTCTCTCCCCCCTTGAAGTGGGAACAAAACTTTGAATAGAAGACTGGCTGGCTAGCCAATGTAAAAAACTAGATGAATGGATGTTCAATGTTGATGATTCTTAATTTCTTCTTATCTTCAGTTGATTGATATATATACGTCTTTTGTATATATATTCTTGGGCCAAATGCTCGCCACAATAATATATGTCTATATTATTGAGAAGTAGTAATACGCAATCTGACTTACGGTTTCTTCAGGTTTATTCTTAGTTACGGATACATAAAACATAATATAGGATGTTACAGGATAATGGACATTTAACAGCAGATGGTAATTGCTGTACTTCTGATGGGAGAGTTACATCGTTGTACAGAGCCAAGCCAAGAGTGAGACTACGCGCGACCTCATGTCCCTCTGTTACTATATAGATGTGCTAATACTAACGTCAGCATATAACTCTAGCCATATAAGGACAAGACCCCCACACCCACATTCCAGAGCTCTCGGACAAAGAAAGCCTTGTGACTTATTGATACCATCTGTTACTTATGTCAATCCACACATCCATATATATAATCAATAGAAACATAGAATATGCAATATTCTACAGAGGGATTTCAGGACTTTGCCTGTGTGTATCTAGATGACATTGCCATCTACAGCTGCACATGGTAATACCATCTTGAACACATATCTGTAGTACTTGAGAGTATTCGGGCAGCAGGGCTCACATTGAAGCCCGACAAATGTCATGTCGGTTTGGCCAAGGTACAGTATCTCGGCCATAGAGTAGGTTCATGCAAGCAACCACTGAACCTTCCAACGTTGAGGCTATTGTAAACTGGCCTCAACCCCGTTCCTAGGGACAACAGGCTATTACTGAAAGTTTGTACCAGAGTATAGCTTTATTCTAATGACAGACCACAACCCCCTCATCTAGCTGAACCAGGTGGCCAGAGATAATCCCAGTCTACTACACTGGAGCCTGGCCCTACAACCGTATAACTTTACCATGCAGTACAGACGGGCAAGCAGAATGGCAATGCGGATGGCTCTCCCAACAGACCGAATTGGAGAACTAATTCCTACTCCCGGACATCCGCAAGCCTACCCGTCGGGGTCTAGGCGGGTATGCTGCACCATGGAACGGGGGGGAGCAATGTGACAAACTGCCCGGACACTATCTGTATTTTCTCCGAGCCCAAGATTTGGTTCGGTACTTTTATCCACCCAACACAGACCACCCCCTGGCTCGTTATCTTCAAAACAACCATACACTCAAGTGCTTTCTCTGGGTGGCCACCATTCGTATAATCGAAAACACATGCTCTGGAAAATGGCGGCCATTTTGTCTCCCGAATGCAGGCGACGGTACAAGGTCATCAAGTGCCTGGAACCCAAAAATGGGTACTTTAACCCGCAAACCTCAATACCTTTGTTCCTTCGCCTGCCTCCTTCCCCGACAAGCCAGTAGAGCGCTGTTCAGTGAATCATTTATTTTATTTCTTGTAGGAACTCCCGAAGGCTTACTGTCACGGGTTACCTTAGTTGGTGTCCAAAGTGCAGAGATGTTTGCTCACCCTTGCAGATAAACACAGCCCACGATAACCAGATAAGAAGCTACCTGGGCTGTGAATCTGTGCATGGGGGCTTAGGCAGGAACAGTAACCAGGTACGAGGAAACAGACTAGGGCAAATCCAGAAAAGGCAGCGAACAAGCAATAACAAAGATCCAGAAGCAAGGGTCACAAGCCAAGTCCGTCTTAAGCAACAGGAACAAAAAACATGAAACAACAAACTGACATTGCCCTTAGGGAGAGGCAGTGTTATATACCTGGGATAATGATCCATCTGCCTCAGGTGGACTTAGATTGACAGGTTGGAGCCACTGGTGAAGTCCAGCCACCTAGTGCTGCAGGCAAAGCCGGATAAACAAGGATAGGTCCACAAGTACTGAAGTGGCTCAGAGGCAGGAATGCAGGCTTGGGCTGCAGAAGGACCAAGGTTCAAATCTCCTGTCTGGCACCTGTGTGGTGACCACGCCTGGCCATCTGGATGGCACGGTGAGTACAGTGACACTGACCAACCGCTACCACTTTTCTTACTGAACTAATTTGGGCAGCTGCAATGTGTGCGGTCAGTCAAAACTCTTGTATGGGTCAAAGAAAAAAAGTTACCTTATGCATATCCAAACGAATGGAGGTTATCTAGTCACTCCAATGGTCATGAGAGGAAATGCCCACCTGCCACTTCAAGGCAAACCTCCCAGGCGTGTACTACACTGACTATTCACCTTGCTTCCTTGAGCTTATAGCAAGGATATCTCTAATGAGACAGAGAGGGGTATTGTTTTATAATCCCCTACATGCTTAATAACCCTTAATAGGGAACACATGGGGTGGGTGGCAGCATTGTAACTTAGCTGTGTGTTAGAAAAGTGAATACAAATAAATAAAAGTCCTCCGCTCAAACTCCCACAACTCTTGGGTGGCTAGATAACCTCCTTTAGTGGGATCGTATCCATTTAATGTATCAAATTATTTTCACGGTGTGAAACATACAATATTATCTGAACTTCAAACGTCCAATAGGACTTCCGCTGTAGACTGATGTTCTAGTACACATTACGTCAATTCTGTTGTGCAAATACCTGTATCTTGTCATGTCTGCTCTATACCTGGATTCTCCTTATTGTCTTTTTAAGGTCAAACCATGCAGGATGCCCTCACATTTGGCTGCCAGATAGCAGGCAGGAAGTGCGGGATTCAGGGATATGATGGCATTGTCTGAAGACCTAGACAAGGAAGGACAACATGACAGAGTGAAGACAATTTGCTAGAACTAACAAAGGACCAAGTTTTTCAAATATATAGTTGGACCACATGTTAATTGAAACCTTGATTGGCACTGTTAAAGAATCAGTCACATGTGATCATGACTACCATGTAAAAACACACAACTAATTCCTGCAATAAACTCAACAACTGGGCACAGCCTATGTGATCATTTCACCTTTATATTACATAAACCTGTCAGAGGTTTGTCGGGAAGGGATGCTGACCAGTGCAGCAACCTCTATAGGGTGGAACCTCTGGATACAGGACAGGCAGGACAGGCCTCTGGATACAGGACAGGCAGGGCAGGCCTCTGGATACAGGACAGGCAGGGCAGGCCTCTGGATACAGGACAGGCCTCTGGATACAGGACAGGCAGGGCAGGCCTCTGGATACAGGACAGGCAGGACAGGCCTCTGGATACAGGACAGGCCGGGCAGACCTCTGGATACAGGACAGGCAGGGCAGACCTCTGGATACAGGACAGGCAGGGCAGGCCTCTGGATACAGGACAGGCAGGGCAGACCTCTGGATACAGGACAGGCAGGGCAGGCCTCTGGATACAGGACAGGCAGGGCAGGCCTCTGGATACAGGACAGGCCGGGCAGGCCTCTGGATACAGGACAGGCCGGGCAGACCTCTGGATACAGGATAGGCAGGGCAGACCTCTGGATACAGGACAGGCAGGGCAGGCCTCTGGATACAGGACAGGCCTCTGGATACAGGACAGGCAGGGCAGGCCTCTGGATACAGGACAGGCCGGGCAGGCCTCTAGATACAGGACAGGCCGGGCAGGCCTCTGGATACAGGACAGGCAGGGCAGGCCTCTGGATACAGAGCAGGCAGGGCAGAACTCTGGATACAGGACAGGCAGGGCAGGCCTCTGGATACAGGACAGGCAGGGCAGGCCTCTGGATACAGGGCAGGCCTCTGGATACAGGACAGGCAGGGCAGGCCTCTGGATACAGGACAGGCAGGGCAGGCTCTGGATACAGGACAGGCAGGGCAGGCCTCTGGATACAGGACAGCCTCTGGATACAGGACAGGCAGGACAGGCCTCTGGATACAGGACAGGCAGGACAGGCCTCTGGATACAGGACAGGCAGGGCAGACCTCTGGATACAGGACAGGCACGGCAGGCCTCTGGATACAGGACAGGCAGGGCAGGCCTCTGGATACAGGACAGGCAGGGCAGGCCTCTGGATACAGGACAGGCCGGGCAGGCCTCTAGATACAGGACAGGCAGGGCAGGCCTCTGGATACAGAACAGGCAGGGCAGAACTCTGGATACAGGACAGGCAGGGCAGGCCTCTGGATACAGGACAGGCAGGGCAGGCCTCTGGATACAGGGCAGGCCTCTGGATACATGACAGGCAGGGCAGGCCTCTGGATACAGGACAGGCCTCTGGATACAGGACAGGCAAGGTAGGCCTCTGGATACAGGACAGGCAGGGCAGGCCTCTGGATACAGGACAGGCAGGGCAGGCCTCTGGATACAGGACAGGCAGGGCAGGCCTCTGGATACAGGACAGGCCGGGCAGGCCTCTAGATACAGGACAGGCAGGGCAAGGCCTCTGGATACAGAACAGGCAGGGCAGAACTCTGGATACAGAACAGGCAGGGCAGAACTCTGGATACAGGACAGGCAGGGCAGGCCTCTGGATACAGGACAGGCAGGGCAGGCCTCTGGATACAGGACAGGCAGGGCAGGCCTCTAGATACAGGACAGGCAGACAGCAGGCCTCTGGATACAGAACAGGCAGGGGCAGAACTCTGGATACAGGACAGGCAGAGGCAGGCCTCTGGATACAGGACAGGCAGGAACGAGCCTCTGGATACAGGACAAGCAGGGCATGCCCACTCTGGACCTGCAGGACAGGCAGGGCAGGCCTCTGGATACAGGACAGGCAGGGGCAGATGCTCTGGATACAGGACAGGCAGGGCAGGCCTCTGGATACAGGACTTGGCAGGGCAGGCCTCTGGATACAGGACGAGGCGGGGCGGGCCTCTGGATGGGACGGGCGGGCAGGCCTCTGGATACAGGACAGGCAGGCCTCTGGATACAGGACAGGCAGGGCAGGCCTCTGGATACAGGATAGGCAGGGCAGGCCTCTGGATACAGGATAGGCAGGGCAGACCTCTGGATACAGGACAGGCAGGGCAGGCCTCTGGATACAGGACAGGCAGGGCAGGCCTCTGGATACAGGACAGGCAGGGCAGGCCTCTGGATACAGGACAGGCAGGGCAGGCCTCTGGATACAGGACAGGCAGGGCAGGCCTCTGGATACAGGACAGGCAGGGAAGGATACAGGCACGCAGGGCAGACCTCTGGATACAGGACAGGCAGGGAAGGATACAGGCACGCAGGGCAGACCTCTGGATACAGAACAGGCAGGGCAGACCTCTGGATACAGGACAGGCAGGGCAGACCTCTAGATACAGGACAGGCAGGGCAGACCTCTAGATACAGGACAGGCAGGGAAGGCCTCTGGATACAGGACACGCAGGGCACGCCTCTGGATACAGGACCGTCAGGGAAGGCCTCTGGATACAGGACAGGCAGGGCAGACCTCTAGATACAGGACAGGCAGGGAAGGCCTCTGGATACAGGACAGGCAGGGCATGAACACAGGGGGACAGCGTCAAGCAGAGCTCCGATTCCCCGACTAGGTATCTCCGCTATTCCTTCCTTGAAGCTGTAAGAACCACTGTAGTGATTATAGCCCTTTACTCTGTGAGGATATTTATGTGGATTCATTATTATTAATTAATTTTCATTAATTCAAAATAATATTTTCATAAAAATTATTAAAATGAATAAACGTTATTAAAATATCAGAGGTTGATATTTTATTGGCGCTATTCCTAATTATTATTTAGAAGCGAAGAGTTACTCACTATTTTAACTGGAGCATATTGTTTGAATTTAATATTTCATACATTAATATCACAACTTTTTATCAAAATTATTATATTTATTTTTGCCAGTAAGATATATATATAAATATACATGATAATTAGTGAACAGATTTCAATAACATTGAACAAGATATGGCATAGTTTAGTATCACAATCACAGTAAGGGAATTTCAAACTTAGAGTAATGGGATTGTTAGTCCATGACGTTATCAATCAACAGGGTCGGCATATGGAATATTTTACTCATATACAATTGATTGAGACACTCAGCATATAGTGTGTCACTATTTGTTAAATTATAAAGAACCATATGAGTTATCAGCATATTGATTATTATAATTTAAAGACAGATTTTTCAGGATCTCAAGGAATACAATCTTAGTTTTACCCTTAGTAGATTTACAATCACTTGTGGATTGTTTGTCTACTGTAAACATTCATTAGACTTAGCTGGACATAGATTGTAAAACACAGAGTTCTACAGACAATGTTTTATCAGCTGGCCACAGAATTCTAACCAGCTCACGGCTGTTTCACAGAGTAATGAATTATGATTAATCCATCCACTAACCAAATTCTTGCAGGTTTAGTTAAAACAATTCTTTATCTGATAAATATTTCACTTAATTAATATTAATCTGGGTAACTCTTGATATTCTATCTTTATTTCATGATATCAATTTGTCTCCCAGTCTGCAGTTTGAGATACAAATTTTTAATCATGAGCTATCACGAACCCAAGTGTGGAGGATTCAGATCAGCTTTTAGTTATGTAATGTTATAATTGGCTTATATTTAGTGATAGATGTTCTAGATGTCTCTGGAGCACATTGATTCAGAGTTAGTGAATAGCAGTTAAAACAATTCTGGAATTGGAAGTGTTTCCAAGAACAGAGTATAGATAGAAATTCTAAGAACTTTTCCCTGGTAGAGATAAGTTAGGTTTACGGATGAGTGAAAAATAAGAAGCAGTTTTACAGGTGTTATAGTCAAGATTGTCTCAAGATGTCTGCCAGATTGTCAGATGTCAAGGGATTTCAAGAGATCGTCTGAGTAGTTTCTTTTATCCTTGTGGCGGCCACCCCGAGAGGATGAGGGGTTTCTCTGCCAGAGATGTTCTTTCCCCTATTCAGAGTGATGCTTTCCAAATTCCAAGGACTGTATAGCTGTGTAGCTCTTATAAGAGCTGGTGATTATAGCTGTTGTAGCGGTTCCCTACAAACATGAGATGAGACTCTATGTTGAGGGTAAGCAGGAACTGGTTTATTGATAGCAACACTAGCCTTTTATGTCAATCCCCATGCAAGAGGCACTCACCTCTGGACCTGAAAGTAGACTACAGTAAAAACATATACACAATCACATTGGTTATCAGGTCCAGGACACTACCATACAAAATAGGTTAATCCTTCCTCTGTACCTGGGTTAGGTTTAGGGGTAGGGTTAGGGTTAGGGAATTGCTGAAGTCCCAAATTTCTGAAGTGCCAAAGTCTCGAATTGCCAAAGTCTCGAATTTCGGAAGTGCCGAACCGAGGGGCATGTCTTGGCCAACATCTTAGATGGCCACCTACTAGAGAGGCTCCAGGGCCAAGGGGACAATTTTTTTACAAATTCACAATTTCCAATTTTAATGGGCCGAATCTGATTGCTAATACAGCATTTTAAACCCTCTGTTAACATGCAGAAGCAAAGAAAACCGGGAAAAAACATGTCTGAGGCTAAGAAACACAAAGCAGGAGCTGTTGGGGTGAGTAAGGTCTTGCAGAGCCACACACCTACATCTGCGAGGCAAGGCAAGCCTGCGGCTTGCCTCGCCACTAAAATCCCCATTGGTGGCCTCCCTCCAGACCTGGTTTTATGCGAGTGTGGCCGCGACCTGCTCGCATCATTCCAGGAGCGGCGGGATCGTGGCCGCGACAGCCGCAAGCTCGGAGTGCGACTCCAAGCACTCAGCATGCTCAGAGTGAGGTGAAATGTCCCCCGCGAGTGGCGCGGTTCATACAGATAACCGCAAGTGGTTAATTACAAAAGCAGCCCGGTTGCTCACTTACAAAAGCAAGGCGGGGGTTGCAGAGGAGGGGACAGGCGGCAAGAGATCCCATTCCCTGTCTGGATCTTCAGCCTCTCAGCTGTCGGTCGCGGCGGGTGGGCATCTGACGTCCGACTCAAAATAATTAAAGGCACAGACAGGGCTATAGAAAGCCCAGAAGAAGAAATTATGGAATTAGGAGCTGATATGCTCCAATCATTAACCGTTTCAGCACTACCACAAAGAATAAAGTGTGATGCCACAACAAAGATGGCTGCCAATGTAGATACTTTGCATGCCACTTCCAAGATTGCCACTGTCACCTCCAAGATGGCCACCACTACTTTTAAAGCTGCAACATATCACCCTACTATCCAACTTGAAATGGGAGAAGATTTGCCACCATCAGGAGTGATAATTCAACTTAAAAAATTACTTCAAAAAGGATTTTGAGGCAATCTATGGTGTTATGGAGGGTATTAATCAACGCACGGAGGCAATAGAAAATAGATTGCATTTTCAATAGCAATCTCATTTGGATTTCACTGACATTGTAAAGGCGCTCCAAAGACAGGTAAACCAGCAGACGGAAAAGTTGGCAGATGTTGAAGACAGGAGCAGACACAACAACTTAAGGATCAGATATTGATATCATGGAATTACCGAAATATTTCCAGAACATAATGAAGGCAGTTATACCTACTGCCACTAATTCGGATTTATTGATAGATCGTATTCATAGGCTGCCTAAACCTAGTAGCGCACCAGCGGCTGCACCCAAGGATGATATAGTACGTTTCCACTACTATAATGTAAAGAAGCAGTTCTTGGGCGCAGTGCGCACATCTGGCCTTCCTGGAGACTACAACAACATGAAGGTCTTCCAGGATTTTTCAGCTCATACGATGAGACAGCGCAGGGAATTCCAACCTTTCACGTCAGAGTTATGTCGGAAAGGAATAAGATACAGATGGGGATTTCCTGTTAAAGTGCTCTTCTACATGGATGGACAGAATTTTATAATCACGTCGCCCGAGGAAGGAATGGAACTTTTCAACTCCTTGAGCAGATGTACTGTACCGCCGCACATGCTTTCACCATCTACTCCTGAGCAGGTCAACAAGAGGAGTAAACTGGACTCTCCATGAAGACCAATGCTGTTCCTGAGTTCCTGATTTCCAAGTTCCAGTCTACGTTGTTCCAGCCTTTTTTTTTTTTTTGCTTACATGCCACTTGACTTATCTTTTCTTCTTCTTTTTCTTTTTGTTTATAATTTTTTTTCTTTTTTACTGGGATTGATGGTATTGTTCTAGGAAAACTTTATCTTTAAACCATACTAATGATTACTGCCCCAACTTTGGAATATGTCGGGATTACTTGAAAATTTGGTTTGTTTTTTTCCTCTTTTATTTCAACAGCCTTTTGGGTTTGAATAATTGTGGCTACTTGTTGCGTACTACTACTATTTACCCCAGAACTTCACTTTACTATTTATGACTCTTTTACTTTGAACTAAAAAATTTTTTTTTTCTCAGACAATGGTTTGACATTTTTTTAATACAATGGTTCTCTTGCCCCCAGTAGTCTTCTCTCCCCTCAACCTGGGCCTAACACCCTGAGATGGAGAAAAAAAAAATATTCTTCCTCATGACCCTTTTTTTTTTAACTAATATTCTTTTTTTTCCCCTAATAGTTTTTTTATACCCTTTTTTTTTATGTCCATCCATTTCCTTGTGATATGCAAAATATTTTACACAACACTATTTAATGTTATAACTTGTACAACGCTTTATGGAACTAGCCCAGCACGTCTTTTAGTATTTAAACAAGCTCATGCATTCAATACCATTCAATACCATTGTTCATACATGTAAACAGCTTGTCTCTATTTTAGCAATATTGTTGGATTTGCTTATATCTTTCTTGGAGTGCGGAGGTTCAGAATCTCACATTATCACTTATTTTTTCTTTATTAATCATGGATTAGGGAATAAATCATGGTATTTTTTGTTGTTTAATGTGAGAGGCCTGAACACAGCGCACAAGAGAAGACTAATATTTACAGAAGCAAAGTCCAACAAGTCTGATGTAATTTGTGTACAGGAAAAACGCTTTAAAGACGATAAAGACTATAAATTTATGTTGAGACTTTTCCCAACCCAACGTGGCATGATTCACCTACAAGGTACTAACAGACAATGAAGGGAGGTACTTATTATGAACAGCTAAAATTAATAATGTTGAGTATACAATTGTGAATATGTATTTTCCCAACACCGGTCAATTAAGTTTTTTTAGGAAAATTATGGATCTGGTGAATTAAAATCTGAGACGTATTTTGGTAATGCTAGGAAAAACTCTGACCAATCCCATAGGAGAGATAGAGACAGATTAGCGGATAAATGCTCAAAATACATTATTGAATGTGGTTTGTATGATCCTTAGAGATTGATCTGATATTTTAGATATTAATTGGTCCGACCAATCATTAGCAGAGAAAGTCTTAAGTGATTACTTTCCAGATAATGTTTTATCTGAGGTTCCTGGTGAGGTGGCTTGGAATGCGCACAAGGCTGTGTTGCGAGGTCATTTTATTTCTAGAGCGTCTCACCTGAAGAGAATCAATAATAATAATCTGAGAACAATGGAAAAATAACTATACAATCTGAATCAGGCAAACAATTTCGCCCATCGACTTCCCTATCAAATAGGAGAGATCGAGTCAAAAATCCATAAAATTAATTTAGATCGTACATCTCTCATGGTGAGACGTCTTAATAAAACATTTTGTTTAAAAGGCAACAGGGCCTCAACTCTTCTGGCGTCTAAACTCCGGCATGTAAATGTCCAGTCAAAGATAGCATATTTATTAAACGACCAGGGACAAACAATATTTCATCCAACCAATATTAGTGATTTATTCGTGGAATACTACAGCAAACTTTATAATCTAGAATTGGATTTGGATTTTCTCCAATCTTCAGAAGTAACAATTAATACATTTTTAGATAAAGTGACGTTTCCTAGGTTGTCTCCAGATAATTTAAAAAGCTTAGAGTGTGAGCTATCAGCTGAAGAGATAGCTGAGGCAATCAAACTTATGCCATCTGGAAAGGCGCCAGGTCCTAATGGATTCACTATTTTATATTACAAAACCTTCCCAGAAATCTTAATTCCCCATATGATGAAATTGTTCCACTCCTATAAATCCGGGGGGAAGATTCCGGAGGAGTCCTTGTGCGCACTGTCACCTTACCAAAACTGGGAAAACTCCTGATAGGTGTCCTAATTTTAGGCCCATTTCTCTGATAAATAATGATTAAAAAATTTACGCTAAAGTTCTAGCATACAGGTTAGCTAAATGAATCCTCTTATTAATTAATAACTACTAAGTGGGTTTTGTACAGGGCAGACAGGCACCAGATGGAACTAGGAGATTTATCAATTTGATCCAGCACATTAGTTTGACTGAAACGCCTTCTTTGAGTCTTTCATTGGATGCAGAAAAAGCGTTTGACAGGATACATTGGGGATACCTATGGAGAACATAGCAGATTTAATATCCCATTATCCTTTGTTAGTGCAATTAAGGCGCTATACCCCAAAGCCCATGTCTCAGCTTCTGGATTTAAATCCCAAACTTTTTTGCTCACTAATGGGACAAGGCAGGGCTGCCCTTTATCTCCAATTTTATTTGTCTTAGCTATGGAACCCTTCGGCTGAATTAATTAGAACGACACCAGAAACTGAAGGAATAAACATTTAAGGATCTATTCACAAAATTGGCTTATTTGCCGATGATATTATCTTGGCACTTGAAAATCTTTAAAATATCTTAAAGATATTTTACTTCAGTTTGGAGAAGTATCTTATTATAAATTAAATGAGTCCAAGACTTAGGCCCTCCCATTCCACATATATTATTCAGAATTCACCACCCTTAAGAAAATGTATTTATATGATTGGAGAAATTAATATTTAGAATATCTAGGCATTAATTTGTGCAAAAATTTTGTAAATATGCATACTCATAACTTAAGGAAAGCATGGCCAGACCTGCAAAAAGAGATGGAAAAATTTGGCGGGATGGAATTCACATAACTAGGGAGAATCGCATCCCAAATCCATCCCAAAAATCTTTTATTATTTGAGGACATACCTCTATCTATACCATTATATTTTTTCAATAAAATACATTCGGTTATGTTAAAATTTATTTAGAGGAATAAACTTAGCAGGATAAAACTTCCCTGCAGCATCACAAATCTAATGGCGGTATCAGCGTACAGGATATCCGCAAATACTATTTTGCAACTAATGCTGCAGTGGTCGTGAGTTTTAATAGTCAATCTAACAAGCCAAGATGGATGGAAATAGAGGAGTCAAAAATTCTCCCGTTTAGGCTTACCCTGGCTATGTCCTGAAAAAAAGCCTAGAGTCACTAAACAATTTTTATAAAAAAAAAAACACTCTCAAGGCCTGGGATATTGTTTTTTAAAATAATAGCCACACTGCGAGAGTGTATAGAGCAGTGCCGATTGAATTGTTGAAAGACCATATACCTTTTTATAATCTAGATTTATTGAAAGAATACCCTATAACGAACGTAGATAGTTTTTTTTTCATGGTAACGCCATCCATTCATTTGAAAAATTAAAACATTAACATGGACTAACGAATGATTGTAAAGAAGAATGCATGTTAATCATTGAAAAATTGAAAGAATGATATAACGCACCAGACACCGGCAAACATTATAAATCAATAGAGATAACACCACTAGAAATTTTTTTTTTATGTGATCCAAATAGAAAGGGCACTATACAATGCCAAACCCATAGATAAACTGAAACATATAGTATCCTGGGAGACAGAGCTGGGTATACAATATGAGCTGGAGGTATGATTTTTTTAAAGCATTAAAAGGGATTTCTTTTTGCACTGACCACTTCGAAAACCACAAAAAAAAATTGTATCGCTGGTACTTGGCTCCGTCTAAATTGCACAATATAAAAAACAGGTATTCTGTCCGGTGTTGGAGGGACTGTGGGGGTTTGGGAAGTATGGCCCATATATGGAGGTATTGTCCCAAAATTGCAAGGTATTGGAGAATGATCCACGATTTAATTGTTAAATTAGATAGAACTATCTGTGTTTTAACCTCAAAGCTTGCATTATTTAAAAAATTCCCTGAGTCTGTTGGTAGAACTGATAGAATAATAATAGGCCACATCCTGATTACGGCTTCTTCATGCTTGCCAAGGTATTGGAAGTCAAAAAACACACCATCATTTAAAGAACTTAATTCTAGATAATAAAGCACACAAATTATCACATAGGAGCAATACACATTCTTTCGCAAAACTAAAAAAATGATTGGGATAAATGAGAGGAAGAAATTTAAAATGTCCATCGTTTGTAAAAAAAATTGATTTAATGTTGAACTGTATCATTGTACAATCTATCTATGTCATGTGAATTATTATATTTCTTATAATAATGGATGGATACCACTTCTTACTTCCTGGTTTCCCCTTATTTGCATAATTTGTTGAAAATGTAATAAAACTTTAATAAAAATGATTTGAAAAGGAAGTGCCGAAACGATTTTTTTGCACATGCACATCTCTAATTTTAATATTGATTGGCTGAATCCTAAAAATAATAGTTCTTGCTCGCTGTGTAAGACTTACGCAATTAATCTCCTCCCCAACTCGCATAAACATTAAAAGCCATAACCATACCCTGCTCAACTGGATTCTCCTTAGCAGTTTCTGTGATCACTGCTTAGTGTACTGTGAGCGCAAAATAAAGGCTACTAAATCCTCCCCAAGGTTAACCCCTTAAGGACCGATGACGGTCCTGAACCGTCACAACAGTCTTATGTACTCACCCGGTCGCCGTCATTCCCCCGGCGGTGATCGGCGGTGCTCCCGGTGTGGGGAGACTGCCTGCACCCTGGGCAGTCTCCCCATGGCGGATTAGGATCCCTGGGGCCATGTGATCGCTCAACAGATAGTTGTCCATGTGTCTGCCTGCAGGGGACTGCTTGTGCTGACAGGCAGTCTCCCTGCAAGTGTAAAATAAAATAAAAATAAAAAGGTTAATGTTAATAAATAAAAAATAATTTTATATGTCTATATATTATATATATAATGTCATACTAAGTGTATTTTTATATTAATATATACATATATTAATATAAAAATACACTTATAATTAAATTACACACTATATATATATATATATATATATAATTAATAACTATATATATTGTGTATATATATATATAATATATATATTATTATAAAATACAAATAATAAGTAATTTAAATTAAATTAAAAAAATGTAAAAATAATTATAAAAATTAAAAAAAATTATCTATCTATATGAAATTTTATTCTAACTGTATTTTGATATTAATATATATATATTTATATCAAAATACACTTGGAACGAAATTGTATATATTTATGTATATATAAATAAATAAAAATAATACGAAATATACATATGTCCATATACAAAATTACATAAATAATTATATAAATATACACGTAGATTTCAAATATATAAATATGCATATATATTTAAATTCTACGTGTGTATTTATGTAATATTTTTACATAATTAAGTAATTTTATTGATTGCAATTTGAGGGACCTGCCTGCCAACCCAGGCCGAAAGTCCAGAGAATTTAATTTGCTAGCACTGTATTTTACCCTGTAACGTTCTACGACACCCTAAAACCTGTACATGGGGGGTACTGTTTTACTCGGGAGACTTCGCTGAACACAAATATTAGTGATTCAAAACAGTAAAACATATCACAGCGATGATATTGTCAGTGAAAGTTACTTTTTTTGCATTTTTCACACACAAACAGCACTTTTACTGATGATATCATTGTTGTGATACGTTTTCCAGTTTTTAAACACTAATATTTGTGTTCAGCGATGTCTCCCGAGTAAAACAGTACCCCCCATGTACAGGTTTTATAGCATTTTTGAAAGTTACAAGGTCAAATATATGGGTCAAATATTTTTACACTGAAAATGGCCAGGTTGGTTACGTTGCCTTTGAGAGCGTATGGTAGCCCAGGAATGAGAATTACCCCCATGATGGCATACCATTTGCAAAAGAAGACAACCCAAGGTATTGCAAATGGGGTATGTCCAGTCTTTTTTAGTAGCCACTTAGTCACAAACACTGGCCAAAATTAGCGTTCAATTTAGTTTTTTACTTTTTTCACACACAAACAAATATGAACACTAACTTTGGCCAGTGTTTGTGACTAAGTGGCTACTAAAAAAGACTGGACATACCCAATATTGAATACCCTGGGGTTGTCTACTTTAAAAAAAATATGTACATGTGGGGTGTTATTCAGAGGTTTATGACAGATAATAGTGTTACAATGTCACAAAATTTTGAATCTATTTAGCATTTTTTTTCATTCGCTTTTGTAGAAGAGTAAAAGATTTTTCAAGTAAAAGTCAAAAAACATATATTTGTTTCAATTTTTTATCATTTTTTTTTTAAATTAAATTACATGAAATTATATAAATAATGGTTTGTAAAGAAAGCCCTTATTGTCCTGAAAAACACAATATATAATTTGTATGGGAACAGAAAATGAGAGAGCGAAAAATTACAGCCAAACACAAACACCACAAAAGTGTAAAAAGATGCCTGGTCGCAAATGTACAACATGGCCAAAACAGGCCGGTCCTTAAGGGGTTAAAATCACAAGGTCCTTAAAAAAATGTAATCTTGAACCTTTCTAAATTACATCAAGAATCTCTCATGGCACAGATTAAACATTATCCCAGATCTAGACTGTGCAGTTGAATTCTTTCAGTCTGAAATCCTACAAGTTTGGAATTTGCATGCCCCGCTGCGTAAGGTGAGAGTAAAAGGGGCGCATATGAACTGGATCACAGCTGACCTCATCCAAATGTACCAGTTTCAGGATTCTTTGTGGTCAAAGTTCAAGCGTACTGGCTCTGTGAATGATCACTGTGCATATAGACAATGGCGAAATATATGCACAAAACAGACAGGTGCATATACTACATCCTCAATATTTCTGTGAAAATCTGAACAATAACCTATCAAACCCTAGAAACTTTTGGAAAGTCATAAATAAATTACAAACTCCCCCAATCCACCCCCAACCCTCCACTGTCAAAGTGGATAACCAAACCCTGCAACTTCCCTTAGATGTAGCAAATGCCTTTAACAATTATTTTGTCGGATGCTCCACTATACTGATTGACAAGCTAATAAATGACATGCATCCTGAAACTACAAATGTGGATCAGGCCCCACTAAATTTGCAAAGACCCAATTGTAACGGCTACCCTGGTGTGGTGAGGGTACCAGCCGTTGGGGACGTCCTTTTCTTCCTGGCAGTCGCTGTGTAGTGATGGAGTCGCCTATTCCCTTCTGCTGGATCAGGAGTGGAAACAAAGTACAGCTCTGAAAAGAGCTAAGTGATTAAGCTGCATAGATTCCCCTTTCAAGAACGAGACGAGGCTACGTTTTGAAGAGTCAAGAAGAACTGAGGATTTATTGACAGACACTCTCTTTTATGCGATTCTGCCCATGCAAGGGAGACACCCACATACTTAGCAGTACAACCAATCCATACAATATACATTCTGTAAATCCCCTCCCCTCAGATAACTACATAACATAATTAAAAAGGAACATATTTTCCCCAAAGTTCGGATGTACCCCAAATACTTGGTAAAAACTCCCGAACAGCCGGCCATCCGTATGCCATCCTGGGTTCGCTGAAATCTCCATCTGTTGCTGATTCTTTCTACCGAACGCCTGGTCGTTCGGTAGTTTTGGCGAGGTTTTCCCGAAGGTATGGCGGTCTCAGCGGTGTTCGCCTGTTTGAGTGTCCGATTTTAGTTCCAGACATTCAACGGCAAACACCGCTGTTCGAGAGTTAAGATGGCCGCGAACATGTGGAAATCCCGAAATGGCGGCTGAGCTTCCAGCTCCCATAGCGTTCGTGCAGTCTTTCGAATAAAAGTGCCCATCAAGCAGGGAGGTAAATTAGACATAATTAGCAGTCAGGGTGGCTTGTTAGAGGTAGGTAAGCATTCGCATCGAGAATGCTTGCAAAATACCGAACGGCCTTATAATCCATATGTCTTTTCCAGGCAAACTGTGCTTTTTGTTACACCAATATAGATCAGGAAAATTTTAGACCTGTACCTATTAGTGTCATTAAGAAACACCTTTAAAATCTAAAAATGAAAAACCAGTCTGGACCTGATCAAATCTGGATACATACCCAAACTTTGGAAGACTGCGACAGTAGTGCCTATCCATATATTGGTGACACTACTTTGGTTCTAACTATTGCCCAATATCATTGCTCCTAGTGTTGTCAAAAATCCTAGAAAAATGCGTCTATACGCAACTATGTGAGTATTTCCAACAATCTAACTATCTGACCCCTGATTAATCAGGCTTTCTTAAAACCTAAAGGTTTGCAATGACATCCAAACTGGATGGAACAAGGAGACCTAACTGGAGCTATTTGACACAGTATACCAAGACATTCTACTGCACAAACTAAAAAAAACTCAGGTATTGGTGATCGGCTGTTAACCTGGTTTCGATCATATGTATCGGATCGATCACAAAATGTGTCCATTTCTGACAGCGACTCCCTCCCTCTCCCGGTCACGTGTGGTGTTCCCCAAGGTTCCATTCTCAGCCCCTGACTATTCACATTATTTATAAATGATCTGCCTAATGTTTGCAAATCCTCAAATGTACATGTACGCAGACGACACGGTAATCTATGCAAGCAATTCTGATCTACCGCAGCTTGATGCTTCAAGACCAGTTTACAGAGGTAGAAAAGTGGATCGCAAAAACCAAACTCTTCCTAAACACTGACAAAACCGTCACAACGATCTTTGGAACAGTACCTAAATTACACAAATTACACAATTCCCACCTATCCGTACAAAACAAATTCAAATAGCACACTGACCGCAGTACACGCTTTCAAATACTTGGGTATGTTGTTAGACCCCAATCGATCTTTTGGCCTGCACATAGAAAAGCTTGCATCTAAACTTTATCCAAAACTAGCTGCCCTGTACAGAAACAAATCCTGCCTAAGCCCTAAAGTAAAGGAAAAGATTGCACAGCAAATGCTGATGCCAATTGTTGATTATGGGCATGTAGTATATGCACCTGCACCGCAAATCCACCTTAAAAAACGTAGTACATTTTATAACTTGTTCTGCCGATTTGTGCTACAATGTAATTACATGACCCACCATTGTGACATGTTAAAAGAACTAAACTGGCTGTCGCTGAAATCCAGATGCACTCTGTGGCGGGACACCGCTACTAAGTGCCATGCCCACTGAATATTCAGATATTATGGTTTTGTATTTTGTGTCCCCAATGTGTATTCTCATGATTTTCCCTTGTTAAATGTATTTCCACATGTATTTTTACACTGTACAATGCATTCTACTTTTCAACCACGCGGGGACGCTCCGGTGCACGGAGCCCATGCACCAGTCCACCCCGATACTCCATTTAGAATGTTTAGTTATAATATTCACACTTCACTAACAAGGTGGGAAAACCGCAGACCGCAAGGGAAACAAGCGGCGCATGCTTCCCCTGGGTGGCCACCGCTTCGTATCACCAAATGCCCACCAGGGGGAGCATTCGTGTCCCGAACCAGCCTGCACGCATTGTCTTCAATCCCTATTTAGGGGACTGTCCTACATGCTCCCCAACGGAGCTATAATCATCGTTACCACCCCACCTGGCAGCTGCGAGGCTAGGCTCAAAAGTACCCAGGAGAATGCTCTCCGGCAGAAACCTGCGTGGAGGTATCCACCGGAGAAAGAGACGCGTGCCAGCAGGAAATCTCTTGAGCTGTGATTAGGTCTCACTGCCGCAGAGTCCCAGATGCCTGTCTGGAAGTCCGGGCCGACCAATAGGAGAGGGAGGCCCCTTTCAAACTGGGTTCGCGCCATTCTTCTGGTTGGTCGGCACGAGTGATCGCTGATTGGTCGCTGCGGGGCGCAGGTGACCAATCAGAGGAGGAGCGCTTGTTCAAACGGGGTCTCTGTATGTATGTATGTCTCTGTATGTATGTATTCTCTGTATGCATGTATGTATGGGCATTTTTAATTTATACCAAAAAACCCTCTCTTCTACCCAATTGGCCGTTTTAAATAAGGGATTAAAATTTGCCCCAACCAACCAGCAGAGAAATCACTACTCCCCATCTACCTCAAGCAAATACTACTTCAACCACCATTAATACTAACTTAAAACTACAAGCTAAAATGGATCCCACAAGTTTTAAATCTGGTCATTTACAAGTGTTTGAAAAGCTTGTTTGAAAGGATTTTAATACATTTCAAAAACACTTATCAGACAAATCTAACCTTAATCTAAAAGAGAAAGTAGCACTTAAGGAACTACTGGCAGATAAGGACGGTGGACTTGTTATTCTTTAAAATCAAATGAAAACTCAACGATACGATAGGTATATGAAAAATTAAGTAACAATTCTAGTCCTCAAATCCAAATGGTCTTAAAAATTACTTAATTAAAGGGAGTCAGACGTGCTCTGTCTGAGCTCCCGCTTTGTGGCCGGGAAAACTGCGCAAACTGGAGGCAAAACCTTCCTAGCCACCCGCAACAAAGATCACACTGATCCCCAGATCCTGGGGTACGACGGGATACCCTTCAAGATGCCTACAGTAACCCGATGAAGGCTAGAGGCGTGCAGGAGCTTGAGCCGGGACGAGATGGCCGCTCTCCCGGGTCTCCGGCCGGTGTCTGGCGTCCCCCTCCACTCTGGACCGGGGGGTCATCCCGGTCTGCACACACGCATGCAACTACTGTCACGCCACGCGGGCTGAAAAATACCACCCTGCTATGGAACACTCTCCGGCGGCATTCGCCAAGATGGCCGCCGCACGCCAGCCACATGTGTGACCTACCGCAGGAGAAACCATCCAACGCCATCGGATCACCACAGGGATGCGCCGGCGGATTACATTGAGCAGACTAAGGGGATGCTAACCACACATATATTGGGTGGGAGAAAGAAACAAAACAAAAAACCTTTGCGCCTGTGGAGGACGCCATCACTCTTCTGGGGCCCATTTTATCTGCCTGTAGGATGACTAAAACGGCTGCAGCTGCACCCAGGCCGTTTTGGTGAGGCGCAACACAAAAATTCTTTCCCTGACTGATATGCATCCTTCAGAGCAAACAGCCTGCCAGCACTGGGTATGGACTAAACAAACCCACGCAGGTCCTCAAACGCACAGTCCAATCTGAATATCAGGACTTATTCATCTTGCAAGAAGCATCCCCATGTTTTCTGCTGCCCTGATTAAGCTCCTCTCTGCTTCTCAAAACACGTCTCATAACACTGATCCCAGCAGGCTCTGATGGTATCTTTATGTCTTGATTTCATGCACAGTGCTATATATGTCTGCTTAACCCTTCATAGATGCAGATAGCATAACAAAGAGCCAATAGGGACTAACAGGGAAAACGTATAATGCATGTTGAGTGTGTTGCAATATCATTCTACAGACATTGCTACACTAGCATAATGGTTTGTTACGCCACATAAGACCATACTGTTAGATCAATAGCAATTGATCAATAGCAATCTACCTGACTAACGATGTATACCTCTAGATGTATGCCTGTATTAATCGTGAGAAAATAACCTAACATGTATGTAGTATAGGTGTTTACGTACAGTCGAAACTACGATGCTGAAACTGTTTATACTCTTAGACCATATTTACAATCTACTACAGTATTAGTATGCTTAAACCTGTTTAAAATGTAAAATTGTGCATGTTACTCTTGTGCCCGCATGTTCCGCATGGGAAAAAGCTGGAGGACTGCCTTTGGGGCACCTCTCACCTGTTTGTGTCACATCAAAGCACTACAAAAATAAAAAATTCCAAAAAAATAAAAATTAAAGGGAGTCATTAAAATTTTCTTAATAAACAGGAATATAATTATCTAAACAAAATGTATCCAAAAATCCCTGTAATTTACTTATTTTGTGTATTTATATTTACCCAAGATACACAAAAAATTAATCATGTCCCCCAGGCCTTCCAGTTCTCTCAGGGATTAATTCTATTTTATCTAATTAATACATCGACATTTTACTCCAACCCTCTGTAAAATATATGAAATCATACTTAAAAGATTCAATGTCTCTTTTTTTTTTTTACAATTCAGATTATATTCTGGTGACTTGTGATGTACAGTCCCTTTATACAATTATTCCACACCTAAAGGGATGTGAAGCAGTCACCAGAATATTAAAGGAAGAAAATACGATCCCTGAACCGCAAATTAATTTAATCATAGAGAGTATATTTTATTTAAAAAAAAAACATTTTTTCAGGTTTTTTAGATTCTTCTTATCTTCACAAAAGAGGCACAGTGATGGGGACTAGGTTTGCCTCCAGCTCTGCAAATTTATTCATGGCTGATTGGGAAGCTGAGGCTGTATGAGGTAACCATGGCTGGTGGGAAAACCTGGTATCATATTTCCGCTACATTGATGATTTATTTTTTATCTGGAATGGTCCCGAAAGCTCTCTTATTTCATTTTTAGAACATCTTAACACAAACGATAAGGGCATAATTTTAACCACCGAATTTAGTAAAGAACAAGTCAACTAAACATTTTTATCAAAGAAGGCATTGTCAATACTAAAAGTTTTTTTTAAAAGGTTTGCACAAATACTGTTGTTACGGTTGCCTCAGGCTAGCTGAGGGTTGGACCGATTGGATGTCCTTGTCCCCGATCCTGGAGAGAGGTAGAAATTTCCAATTCAGCACCTCACGATCTTCCTGCAAGTGTAAAGTATTCCTGGAGCTCTGAGCAGAGCTAGTGATCAGCATTTCCCTACAACACGAGTCGAGGCTGCGAGTTGAGGGTAAGAAGTCTGGTTTATTGAACAGAAAGGCATTGCTCACACCCCTCTGGGGTGATGGAACACCGTGTTACAAGGGACATAAACCAATAAGAACAAAGTGCATCTTTCTGAACCCTCCCCTCTATCCTGGAGATAATTAGCTTAAATGGTTGCAGTAACTTTCCAGGTACAGGAAATATTCTAGAGTTGAAATTATAACAAAAACCACATAAAAATACATAACTCATATAATACAATATTTAACTTATATGTCCAACATATTCCCAGATAGCTTGGATCTGAGCGCACAAAGATGTCCAAAAAGCATTCAGATCTCACGAATATAGTGGGAACGCCATAGAGATAACGTTTGTCTCCAGGGCCGTTCGGCAAAAGTCAACCCAGAATTAGCTCCACAAAGTTCAGGCATAGAGTCGGTCTAGCTTTCGGAGTCTCAAAGTACCGGTGTTTGTTTGTTTAGACATGAACGGATGGAGGTCTGGGGATCCTAGCGGGATCCATGAATAATAGTGTCCGGGAACAGTACCAGGAGGTCGACGACCAAATCCTGCTGGGCGTTCGACAGTTAAAGATGGCCGCAGCCACGTGTTCGTGCATAAAAACGATGACCACCCAGCCATACGTCAATAAAGCTGAGGTTAACCACAAACCACAGCTACTGGGCGGCTAATAAGGGGGACACTCCTCATGCAGGATGGTCGGTCGTTTGGCAGTTTGTTCGGTAATTGGGAGGTGAACAGGGTTAACAAGCGAAAACCGCAGCTTCTGGGCGGTTAATAGATGACACACTCCATATGCCAGGTGGTCGGTCATTCGTTCATACGAATGACCTGGTGCAGGCTTTTCGTGGTTTTAATCAAGTAAAAACAAATAGAAACAGTGTAGCAAAAGGGGCAGACAGAGGGTACTTTGTAACATGGCTCCCTCCTTATGGAACACTCTGGCAGACATGGCTTGACCCCTTTTCGGGGCAACTTGGGGCTGTCCAGAACAGGTCTTATTCTGAACTGATGTCTGTCTGCTGCGATAACCCATCGGCGTTGCCATTCTGCTTCCCAGGTTGGTATTGGATGGTAAAGTTAAATGGCTGTAAGGACAGGCTCCAACGTAACTGATCGCCTGGCACCCCGACTGGGTACCTCCGTTGAAGGATGCTCCTAGCGCTTCCTGAGGACTCCAAGCACTCTGGTAGACACCACAATCACCGAACCGGAGAAACAAATAAATTCTCCCAAGCATATGAATGCTGTAGACCGTTGAATAGGAACCATACGAATAGGTTTACTCTCCTAGCAGTCAAACTGGAACAGCATACAGTAAATCCTTCCCCCAATAATGAGACGACACTTCACTTTGAGGGTTAAAACAGGAACTCCCTGTACTGTCACATACAGTCTCTTTTATTCCCAATCCACAAACATAGTACAGCCCACAGGGCGTTACAAAACAACCAATCAATCCGTACAATACACCCAGACACTCCCACACAAAATCCTCCCCTCTGCAGGTGATATGATTACTGAACACAATGGGTAATCTCATTATCACCGGCAGAGGAATACAGTTTTTACACAATATTTCTAACTTCTAAAATATACATGTCACAAACATAAAACATACATTTTCATAATCAATCCATTCAGGGGAACAACATATTAAAAAATGGCACGAATCAGACCAGGGGTTCAAAAGTTAAGGGAAAGTCCTTTGTGACTAAATGAAGCATGGCTTTCTGGCCCAAACCAGTTTCAGAGTCTTCTATCCTGGAGAGTAATTCAATTATCTCCCAGGATAGACACAAGACTCCATTAAGCACATGGTTGCAAAAAGACACAAAACACTTTAAAATACATAAAGTCACATTTACACATAACACACAGACATTTCACATATCCCCAGATAGCTGGGATCTGAGTGCACATTATTAGATGAATGGCACTCAGATCACACAAATAAGCCTTTCTGCAGGGGAAATAAACAGTTTAACCTGCAGGGCCATAGTCCAAAGGGAGCAGGCGAGCAACCAGGCTTCTCCAGTTCACAGTGGCGAGGTTGGTTTCGCCACACTTCTCCCCTTTACCAACTAGACTAACAGGGTATCTGACCTCCTGCCGGTCAGTGCCCTGGTTAGTCCAGCAACCCACCCACAAAACAGAAACAGCAGTATAGCCCACCCACAATAACTGGTTACTACACCTGGGTAGAGGAGAACTTTGTCCATGTCCAGGTGCCTCACCACGACTGTGTGGGCAACTGTTAGGCTGCCTTGGTGGGTTGCTGAGTGGGCAGAGACCAGCGGTACTCTGCCCTGATGCCAGTGCTACCACGGAAGTAGCCTGGTGGGAGCCTGGTTGTGGGAGGGAGAGACCGACTGTCTCCCCTCTGGATACACCGCTCTGTGGCTGGGGAACAGGACCGACTGTCCCTACCCCTTGTGCTGTAAGTGCAGAGGCTACAGTCCCATCTGCACTGTTGGGGGGTGTAACATCTCCCCTTGCTGGGTTAGGCTGCCGCTGGAGAGAGGGTGTAACAAGCTCCTCTCTCTGAACTGTAAACTGCCGCTGGGGAGAGGGGGTATCAGGCTCCTCTCCCTGACACTCTCTCTGCTGGTGGAGAGGGGGACCAGCTGTCTCCCCTTTCATTATTTTGTCCTGTGGTTGGGGTGCGAGACTGACGGTCTCTGCTCCCTGCAGGACACTCTGCCGCTGGGGAGGAAGGACGGCACCTTCAGCTCCCTGGGGTACACACTGCCGCTGGGGAGGAAGGACTGCACCTTCAGCTCCCTGGGGTACACACTGCCGCTGGGGAGGAAGGACTGCACCTTCAGCTCCCTGGGGTACACACTGCAGCTGGGGAGGAAGGACGGTACCTTCAGCTCCCTGGGATATACACTGCCGCTGGGGAGGAAGGACGGCACCTTCAGCTCCCTGGGGTACACACTGCTGCTGGGGAGGAAGGACGGCACCTTCAGCTCCCTGGGACACACACTGCCGCTGGGGAGGAAGTACAGCACCTTCAGCTCCCTGGGATACATACTGCCGCTGGGGATCTGGGCTGACTGCCCAGCATCCCTGTAGGGCCT